CCCCCCCCCCCCAGTTTGGACTGATTTTACTGTGTGAAACTGAGCCAGGATTTAATCTTTCCAAGAATATGTTTCATGTTCTGAAAAGTGGTGATAGTACTGAAGACACGGTACTACTGTGAGGATTCAACATGAAAATATCGGGTATGTCAAACTACGTACAAGTCCAAATGCGTTGTTTGGGCAATGTGACGTGCAATGGTGCACCTACACCACAAGAGGGAGTCCTACAAACAACCTGTTAAGACTAAAACCCTGCGGATTGTAATACCAATTGAGCAAATTGGGATTTCACAAATGAGAAGGGGAAGATGAAAAGGCCCAAAGTAGTGGCAGCCTTCCCTGGGCAGCAGGTACCTGTGGCCTCCAAATTGAGTCTCTCCATAACTGAATACAGCCCTGAATGAAGCAGCAGTCTGACGTGGCCCTTGGAGCCAGCACAGACCACCAGCTGGCCCTCCATCTGGAGACATCTCTCAGAGCCTCCTCCAGGAGGATGTGGTGGCAGGAGAGGAGATGAGTCGTCCAGATGGCATGAGCACGCTACTTCCCTGCTCCTGAACCCCAGCATCACCTGCTACCCAGAGACCTCTCCATACTCGATCACAGCACATAAGGTTAACAAGCACCCCTCACGTTTTTAAGATGGGTCCCATAGTTAGACCATCTGGGGAAGCTAATTCTTAGCCCAGGAACCCCCCTGTAGCCGCTGCTGTGAATATCTGTGAGCCTCGTGTGGAGAGACTAGGGCTGTTGCAAAAAGGGGAGCAAGCAGGCTATTTTTAGATCAGCAGGGTTGTAATCTGTTATGACAGTGGGCAGAAGAAGGAAAGGGAAATTGAGGCCTTGCCTCTTGCCCCAAACAAAACGGAAGTGGATGGTCTGGGTGTTAAACGTACGGCTCAAGCTCTCCAGGAGGAAGAGGCCTTTATCACCCTGGGAAGCCCATCTTGAGCAAGGTGGTGAGTTGCAGCTGCTCCAGGAGCTTGTAAGTGCTGGAGCTGAGGTTAAGCTGCACGTTGGACTTGGGCAATCCTGCCTTTGGGGCCACATCTGAGTTGTGTGATCTGGGTTGGCAAACGAGCTTTCCGAACCCCAGTTTTCTCACTTGAAATTGGCTTTTCTGAGGCTACAGTGAGAGAGCACATGCACTTAGCACTGTACCAGGCATGTCACTGCTGCAGAAGGCCGGGTGGCTCCTGGGGCATTAGCATTCGAGGTGGCCAAATGAGAGTTTTGCGAAAGGACTTGCTTCATAAACAGGTTTGGGAAGGCAAGCAGATGGCCAGGTGTGCTGAGGAAGCATGTTTG